ATCTAAAGTAGCGTTAAAATAAAAGATATTTATTGAATATTTAAAAAAAATAAGCAAAAGAATAAGGTTAAATAAATTTTCTTAATTTTTATTAGTTTGTTGTATTAAAATAACCATATAATTGACTACTTTCTTTGGCCAGATGCAACCGAATAAAGTGAAGTTTTTGACTTTTAAAAGGTTTAAAAATATTTTTCAAACCTTGAACGAACATGTTTACTATTGTTGGAAAAAATGTTACATTGCATAAATATGGTGTTACCTTTGACCTGAAAATTTCGATTTTAATGTAATTTGGGCCGGCATTACGAATTCGGCCGGAATTAAGAAAATTTCGGCCAGAATTAAGATCTGAAAATTGTCGATTTTAGCCATTTGTACCAACTTTGGCCAACCTTAAGTTTACATATATACTATATGCCATATAGCCATACTGTCCCAATAATTTATATTGAGATATCATAGTACAAAAAATCTCCCTCTAATTTTTGGGGACATTTCCACTGACTGTTAATATAAAAAAAATTTTTTTTTGCAAATTTTTTAATATTTAGTGAAATTTGATGATTTTTTTTTTAATTGTAAAGCTTAATAAGAGTGAAAAAAATATATATTCCTAATTTTTAACTTTTTAAAAATGAGATAATTTACTTTTGTAAATTGAATTTCTGAAAATATTATTTTTTTAGTTTTTTAAATTATTTTTAATATAATTTCTTTAATATTAAAGAATATTAATGATAGAATTTTATCATTTTAGTTTTTTAAATATAAAATTTTTCTTACTAAATTTAGTAAAAAAGTAATTTATTTCTGATTATAAATTACATTACTGAATATCATTTCCATTGATAATATAATCTCATAATAATTAGTAGATATAAACTGAAGTTAATTCCTTATATATACTGTATTTCTTTTATAATAAAATAAATTTATTTAAATAAAGCTAGTAAGGCAAATTTAAAAAATTGTGAACGACTTATATTTAATGTATGGTTTTATTTCCAAAAATCTTTAAGAAATAACACAGTGAAAAGCATTTAAAAGTCAAGAATTAAATAAGCATATTTTTGTAAATTAAGGTAAAGTAATTGGTTACCTTTAAAGAAATAAATTAATTGATATTTTTATTACCATAATATATTAATATGCTTAAATGATAATTCATACTTCAAATAGGTTTCTTGTTTTAGTGTAAATAATCTATCAATCAATAATAATATTTATGATTTATTACTTTATCTATTTTATTACAAATATAAACGAAATGCTACATATATATTTATTAACTAATTAAGGTCAGATCCAGCTGAGATGATTCTTATTTTTCATGTATCCGCAGAAACTAAGGGATCACTATGCTCATCACTAGTATTAGAAGGTGCTGGCGAATTAGATATTGATGAAGAAATAGATGTAGTTTGATATGGAAGTTGCAAATAATTATTAATTAATGAATCTCCGAACAACTGAGTTTCAGATGGAGGCAAAATATCAGCAGCGAAAGATGTAGGCGGAAGAATTAAATGGCTGGTGGGGTCGTAAACTGAATTGTTATTTTCTCTGGATTCTTCTCGTTTAATTTCAGGAATTTGTTCCATTTGATGCTGCTGTTTATTATGCTCATCCATAATGGAGATTGTTGAAAATTCTGTAATAGCTTTTAATTGTTCAGAACATTCTTTAGTTTCATTAATTTTGCTTTGAGTATCTAAAAGATTTTTGTTATCCATTCTAAGCTTCATTTCTTCTTGTGCTATTATTTCTTTCATCTGGATGATGAATTGTGTCCGATTGGTAATATTCCTTGTAATTAAATTTTGATGTTCTGTCAGCACTCGTAGAAGATAGTCAAGCTGTTGCGAAAGAATAGACGGACTAGGCTTTTCTACAGGTCAAATATTGATAAATCATTAAATTAATTAAAATTTGTTTAATGAAATATGGGTTATACCTTCTGCTTCCATTACTTCTGTCCAAAGTTTTGTTACCTTCCTTCCATATTCCTGAATAATAGATTCTGATTCTACAATATTATGTGTGGTCGTCACTAATTTGGCCTAAATGAATATTTACTGTAAGAATAACTTATTAAAAAATATATATATCACATATTTTTTTTTTCATTTGACGTATAAATACGTACTATATCGGAACGTCCAGGAGGTGGTGTCGTAGGAATACTTGTTTTTATTTGTTTGTCTATTGCTCTTTTTGCATTAGAACTTCCTAATTGTGGTGAATTTGTTCCTGCGAAACGTTTCCGTAATTCATTTAGAAAATCCCTATCAAAGACTTCCCGTTCCTCCCAAATATTGACAACACGCCTTATTTTATTTTGAACATCTGCGGTTGCATGACGATAAGCATGTTCAACGGCATCCGGAAGCACTTTACGAAATTCTCGTATGAATTCTGGACCTTTGCGACGACTATTTTGACAGACATCATTACAAAGATATATGAATGATACTTTCCGCGCTGAGCTTGCTTTTATAATTAATAAAAAAAGTTCAATCAGAACTTAATTAATAAAATCGGCTAAATATTAAGCAAGATCATCAATATCTACCTTTTCGCAACTCACGGTTCCAAATATCAACACTAGTTGCTACATGTCGCCGATGATACATAAACCCTATAGTAAATAAATGTTGTGTGAACAAGATGATATCTTTCAGAATACATAGACTTATAATAAAAAAAAAAAAAAATATGTGAAAAATTATTGATTTAAATCTTATAAAAAGGTGTACATATATTCTAAAGAGAAATACCAACACTGTGATAGTAGGGAAATAGATTCTTGAGTATCGACAAGTTTATTGAGTTTAGAGATTAAAACATCCTCGGAGTAAGCTGACATTTTTAAGTGATTAACTGTAGAAAATTTTTTAAAAGAAAGAAAAAAAATTCAGTATTATAATTAATATAAAAAAAAAGGTAAAACGAAAACCACTTTTTTTTCATTCGAGGAGTGCTATTAAAAAAAGATCAGTTTAAATTTGAAGTAAATGATTGGCTGAATGTCAAAATTCTCACGTTGAAAAACATATATAAGATCTGAGATTTGTAAATTATCGTGTTATACTGTAATTTATCTAGCACGCGATGTCTGAAAATTGTCCAGAAGGTAGAAGCAAACGCCAGAAAATAGAGGATTCGAGCAAATATTCTATCGAAGTCTCTAATAATCAGCCGAACGTAGCTTATGAAGATTCTGGCATTAAACTTACTACAGTTGAAGCTCTTCCAGCTTCCGAAAATATTGACTGTGTTTCTTTAAGTTCTATTTTGTCTTCTGTATGGGACATTTTTATGAATTTTTTTATTGTATTTCAATATAATAGCAACCTTTCTGATTTATTCCTTAATTAGGAGAATTTGATCGAAATGGTTCAATTTAATTATATGGTAGAACTTGAATTCCTAATGACTAATTTACCTAAGTCTAAACAGAAGATCATTCCTACGACTATTGTTCATGGACTTAGTGGAGAAAGTGAAAAATATTTAAAGGTAAAGTTAAATAGTAATCTAATCATTGAATGAATAGTTAATTACGAGAAATTTTGATGAAATTATTAGGATGAGGCAAAACTTTTCAAAAATGTAAAACTGATTTCTCCACGACTACCTATTCCATATGGTCAGTTAATAGCGCTTATAATTGAATATTTTCATTTATTTTTTTACTTATAATTATTTTGTTAATTACTAGGAACACATCATACGAAAGTACATATATACATTATATATCTTACGTTATCGTTAAATAATTCACTCAATGTTTCTTTTATTCACAGGCAATGTTGCTTTTTTATGCGAATTCCACAATGCGTCTGATTATTCATACTGCAAACGCGATCAGAAGAGACTGGGCGTATGTTTTTTATTCTTAAAAAAAAATCGTTTTATTTTCTACCAGAGGATTGATTAAATCGTTAAATATTTTGGATAGCAACAAAACTCAGGGGGTATATATGTCACCATTTCTACTTAAGAAACGCAATATTGCTTCATCTTCAGAATTCGAATCAGATTTTATGGAATATTTAGAGAGTTATGGTGACAAATTAAATATCATTCGGAATAAAGTGAAGGAATATGACTTTTCGACTATAAAGGTAGAATTATGACACGGAAAGTTCCTGTTTATTTTGTTTATTTAATTTAGCGAACTATTTACTGATATTATAATAGGCAATATTAATTGCCTCAATACCAGGTTATCACGTCAATGAAAAACTAGAACTATTTGGGCACATGAGGCTTAGGAACATTTTAAGCCGTGTCACCGTTCCATTATCGTGTAAGTTGGATAGTACTATTATATGTCAGTTTTCAAGCATTGGTTCACTCGGTAAAGATGAGAAATGGCTAATAGAAGAATTTGCAGAAAGTTTAAAGTATGCAAAAAACCAAAATCAATGCAGCGAACCGGATATTAAATTAGTTTATCCAACCGTTGAAAATGTCAGCAACAGGTATTGAAGTCTCGATAGATTTGCCAGTATATTAACGAGCTAGTTAATAATATCTTATTTTAATCAGTTTGGAAGGGTGGGCAGCTGGAAACTCTTTACCATTTGATCATAAAAATTACTTAAAACAAAAACATTATATGCAGAAATATTTACACAAATGGAAGGCAATTGAAGCTGGAAGAGAACGTGCAATGCCACATATTAAAGTAAATAATTTAAAACTCCTTAGTAATTATTTTTATCTTCCTAATTTTTTTTTTCGGATATTTTTAGACATATTCTCGGATGACAATGATACCGAATTCAAATAATGATAATAATTTAGAATCAAAATCAAGTGCAGAAATTGCATGGTTATTGTTAACTAGTAGTAATTTGTCTAAAGCTGCATGGGGTGCTTTACAGAAGAAAGACAAACAGTTGATGATACGAAGCTATGAGTTGGGTATATTGACCTTTCCAGAGTTATTTCAAGTAAGTTTCATATAAATAACTTTTTTTTACCCTAAATATTAACTTTTTTAATTATTTTCTCAGAATGATGAATATACTTCGGTTCATATGTTGAATTCTACTCCTCAAAATTTAAAACCTCTATTACCATCTTTTAACTCACCTTCAAAGTCAACTTCATCTAAGAAGAGAAATCGACCTGAAGAAAAAAATACATTGATAATTCCTATCCGCTTACCTTACGATCTACCATTAACACCATATAATTTTAAGGATGGTGATGAATGCTGGACATGGAATATACCAAGGACTGAAACAGATTGTTTAGGATTAAAAAAATTTTGATTTTGTTATTATATTAATTTATAAATGAAAAGAAAATATTATACAATTTATAAATGTTTATATAAAGTATATTAATTATCAAAAAGAACATTATTATAAATCAAATTAACATTAAAATCTGTTATTAGTCTTTCTTGTTTTGATTATCTCGCTGTTATGTTATAATTTTTTTGGTATAAATGTCGGTGAATCATGTATAATATAATTCAAGATTCACGCCATTACTAATTGAGTCTAAAAATTTTTATGATCCAAATTAATAATTACGGAATAAAAATATTAAAGAATTAGAATTCTTAGACTTACAATCATCCAATGTGAGTTTATTATTAAGCGAATTGATGCCTCTTCATAAAATAAAATAAAAAAAGAATGAATGAATATCCATAGCAAATTTTTAACTTATATTATTGAAAGCTTACCCATATCTCAGTTTAATTTTATTGTAAGGCGTACCAATATGAGCCGCAAGTAGTTTTTTAAATTCTAAAACGGAATCAGTTGGACTTTTTATTTTTTTTTTTTGTATTCGAACGGTTCAAAAAAAAAACAAAAATGGTGAATAATAGAGTATAAACGGAAATATAAACAAAAAATTTGGTTATTAAAATACTAACGAGCACTTGACTTGAACTTTTTTACCTAAACGGTCGTTGCAAGTGACCATTATCATAGTATCGTTTGAATTTTTTGAATCTTTTGATTCTCTTGATTTTTTTGAATCTTTTGAATCAGAAATGTCTTGATCCATGCTCAGTTCGATTGGAAACTTTAAAACCGATTTTAAAGGGTTTAAATTTGAGCAAATAAAAAACTCGTCGCTTATGGCAATGATAACAGATCATGTGATTATTTTTTTTATTTTGTTAATTATTACGTCAACAGGTATAATTACAAGTTTTAAATAAAAACACTTTCAAATTCAATATGAAAATAATTTGCTAAAAGAAAATAATAAAGAATGGTATACACCTAACCCTTATCTATCATATTTTTGATTATAAATGTAAAATCTATAATAACAATAAATCACCGGATTAGTAAATAGTAACAATAAAATACAGATTAGTACAAGAATTTATATTAACAAAAAAGACTTATTGGAAATACAATTCCCAAGCTCACTACTAATGAGCAAATAAAATACAAACTAACAATCTTTTTATTTTGATTCAGACTCTGATGAAAGGCTAGCACCATCTTTTCCTAGTTCATCACTTATATTACGAATCTCTACTTTAGTATGCCTTATTGAAATATTCTGTAAATCAGTTCCTTCTTCTGCAAGTTCTTTTTTCATTAATTCTTTCGCTTCTCTCCTCCGTAAACGTTCTTCCTGTGATAGATTAGTATCATCATCCTCATCATCTTCTGGTTTCCAATCTGGCTTTCGCAGTACTTTACGGAATGCATCTGAAAGAAGTGCAGCATCTGAAGCAGATATCGGTTGATTTTCGAAAGAAACTTTAGATTTCGGATTTAAGCGCATTTCATCTTTATTCGCAAGTGGAGTTGTGGAATGAATCGACTCCGCTTCCACAGGGGATTCAGAGTCACGATTATTACTTCCGAATTTGCCAATGGACAAAGGAGTAATCATTGGAGTGCTTGAACTCATAGAAAGATTTGATAAACTTTGTTTAGTTTGATTATTGACACGTTTTCTATTCCTGATAGCAATAACAATCGCAATAAAGGCTAAAAATGCAGCAACACTAGCAACTGCTATAAACACATTAAACACATTTTTTTCGGATTTATCTTTTTTCTGATCTCCTGAATTAATTGGCGGTGTAACAGTATTCGTGGGAGCAGCTGCTTGAACAGTCTTAACAGATATTGAAGCAACTGGTTCTGATTTTAATGTTGGTTTCGATTCTAGGTTTGTTTTTACAAAAATAATGTTAAAATAAAAAACATTTTTTCAATAAAAATAAACAAATAAAATTTTCCAAAACAACAAACATACCTATAGCTATAAATTCTTTAGATTTGTAAATATCGAGATTGAGATTTTCATAATGTCCCTTTGGAATTACTCTAAATACAAAAGTGTGTTTACTATTTTCGTTCGGAATTGAATTATTATAATCAGGAAACCATCCAGATTCTACAGTAAAATCTATAGAGTTTTCTTCTATAGGTTCTAATAGATATGCTGTTGAAATTTTTGGATTTAATATAATCGTATCTTCAATTCCACTAGTATTTTGTTGCTGTCTAAGAAGATAAACTTCCACTTCCGTTTCAATAGCTAATGAAGGATTATAAGGATTCCAACTCAGATTGACGATTTGACCGACTTTATATTCACTGCCTTCTTCAGGACTACAAAACAATGTAGTGGGGGGAGTTTCTTCAGGAGATTTAGAAGTATTACACGTTGCTAAATAAATAAATCGTATTTGGTTAATTTAATGTCTATTATTAATTTCTACTCTGAATACAAAATAAACTGTATCGCAAAAAATTTCGATAATTTGATAATTTTATAATTTGGAACCGCTTAAGTTTCTCAAACTAACCTTTAAGTAAGATGTATGAATATGAACAAAAATAAAAACTGAATAATCATTTTATAAATTGAAAAAATAGGAGACTACTTACATGCTCTTTTTACGACGTGAGAACGAACGGGTATTAGTATTGATAATATAATTAATATGAAACATATAATTTTTGTCGTATGTAAATTATAAGAATTGTTATTTCGAGGAAATGACGTCGTTGAACAACTATTTAGTAAAAAGTCCTTTTGGGTTAACATTATTATTTAAAAATTAACTATACGTATTTTATAAGGAAATATGAGATAAAAACATGGACGTAAGAAGACAATGTTAAAATAAAATGATAAAATGAAAAAAAAAAAGAAATGAAACGACACGACGACAAAATAATATTAATTTAGGAGGGAGTTATTTATTTTAATAGTATTGTGTAATCATTTAATGTAAAAATTTGTGATATCATAATATCCTCGATCACATCCGAAAAAAGACAATTGCAATTAGTTAAGTATATATATTCCTATTACTTTTTTCCGACGATCCTCGCGATCCTCAAAATTCTTTGGTCAAAAAAGGAAAATACTGAAAATCATTTACATAAATTTAATTTTGAGTCCATTATATTTCTATTTTGATGTTCATTGTATGAAAAGTAGGGGTAGTTGAACCTATTTATAGTTGAATATTTATAACAATATTATATATAGTTTAAGCAAAAATTCTCGTAATTATCATGAATTGGACAGGTGGCAAAAGGTTTAATCAAAATTTTTTACTTTATTTCTTAGTATTTTCAAACGATTAAATATTAATAAAATTTACTTAGAAATAAGATTAAAGTAAAACTAGAACTCCAAAAGCAAAAAGAGTTCTTCAATCGCCAGCGTCTTAAAAATGTACATTCATTTCTCAATATTGAATCAAGGCGTACTCGTACATTGACCAGTATAGAAGTTGTGCGTCGTAACGAAACTTCTAAAAATAATTCTTTATTATTTGACAAAATCTGTAAAGATAGCATCATTCTTGGTATAAATAATGACGACCCAGGTTCAAAAATCCCCACAAAGTATATGATTTAATATTTAAAATTCACACTAACTGAATTGTTACTTTGCTTACAAAAATTAAGATTTCACGAAACGTAAACAATTTCTCTTACAAGATAATGATTGGGCATGTGTTGAATTTACTGTATGCAATTTAAATTAATTAAAATGCTTTATCTTTATAAAAATTAAAAAGTTATTGGTATTACAAAAAGTATTTAATTAATTTTATATTAGACTAAATCTGTCAAAAAAAATTTAGTGAATTTACGAAACAATGAATGTACAGCGAACATGAGCCACATGACTAGCCCAAGTTCAAGGTCGATATCTCCAAGTGTTAATAAATCGAACTCGTCGCCATTGACACAAAATACTACGTTTAAGCGATCTGTTGACGAAGAATCATTAGAATGGCATCAATTCTTGACAAATCAAAATGATATCAGCTCAAAACCAGAACACGAATGGCAAAACAAATCATCCATATCCTCAGACATGATAACAAAAACGGCATTGCATTGTGCCGCACCTAAATCAGTGACTGCATCAAATATTGAATGGAACAAATTTATACAAGGTCCTGATGATAAAACCATAACTTTTGATTCAAATCATAGCCCTTATTTTAGTTCTGCGAGATATTTTAATGATGAGGTGACTAATCATAAAGACGATTCAGAATCATCAACGATTAAGTTCTCAGGTATTACAATGGCAAATTTTTCAAAAGCGACTCAAGGTAATAGTACAGGATTTCATATATTGATTATTCCACTATTTAAAAATATACATATTAAAGTAATTTATGTAAATTAAGACTATTCAATTGACAAAAAGGATTTAAAAGAACCTCTTAGAATAAGCTCAAAGATGACAATGAATCAGGTAAGAAAATCTTCATTTAAAGTGAAATTTATAAATAATTATACTACAATGATAATATGTTTTTAGGATATAGTTAAACGCGTACATGATCTCGAACTTAAAAATGCTCGATTTCAAATAGAAATAAATTTTCTCAAAAATGATATTAAATGGCTAATGAAATTATTAAAGAAAAAACATCAGATAGAAAGAGATAATTAATCCAACAGATACTGTATTATCGTATGTCACCCGAAAAGAAAAAACGGCAAATAATACGTTATCTGTTGAGGCATTTAACTAACAACCATCAATTCTTGAATTTATTCATGGATGAAAGCTATCCGTGTTTCTCTTTGGGTTGCACTGCAGGACATGCAATATATTACTCGCAGGATTGACAGAAGTAATTGGGTGATGAAAAATAATTATATACATTAGTGTATTACAACGAACTAATTTCGATTAATTGGACTTAAATAAAATCATGTTGGCATGTGTTATTATAAATGTTAGAAAACAGTTTTACTATGTTCTAACCCCGTTGGTTTTTCATTTTGCTCATTTGTTAACATAAGCGTGTGAAATAATAGATAAAATAAGAAGTTTTTTATTATGCGCGGGATAATTGTGACACGGGAATTCTCATTGAATTGACCCTGTGATATATTAGTTAAACAACCGCATGTAACACTGAAATACTCACGTTTTATGCGATGGAAAAAACTTTATAAAATATTTACATAACATTTCTTCACTCTATTAAATTTAAAATAAACAATACAATCGAATAATCAATAGGAATATTCTTTATAAGAAGGGTTGATATTTTAATTATTCTTTCAAGATTTAATAAATTTACACACTTGGAAATTTAATTACTACCATCTTAGTTCCTTAGGTTTGAAGGTAAGCATAAGTATGGTTGAGGCTCTAAGCACTTAAGAAATAATTCCAGTCGGATATCTGAATATTACTAGAGTAGATGATATAATACATATAAACTACTTTGCGAATAAATTATTTTCAAAAAAAGGGATTCAGAATTAAATATAAAAAATTTGTGTAATACAATGAACCTGTCCTATAGAATAAGCGCAATTTTTATATTGTGTAATACACAATATAAAAAATTGCTACACTAACGCAATGCGCAAGAAAAAGTCACATGCAATTTGCGGAAAATAAATTTTGCGTACAGATACGCAGTGCGCAGATTATAATTTGCGGAATCCAAAAATAGGATGCGCTCCGCAAATTCCCCAAATAAATGTGTATATATGTATGTCTTATTTATTTATTGAATTTGAGATTTAATAGGTTTTCTTATCAAAAATTAATAATTATATAAAAATGAATAAGTACGATATAACGAATATTTTAACATTTGAAAAATTCTCATACCAAATATCACTAATTAAATGTGGTATAACCGTTCAACGAAGTAATTTTGTAACCCGCATATACACAATAACCCTTTTTATTCCATAAATTTCTTTTAAAATGAATTTTTTTTAGTATAACGAAGATTTTTGCTAAAATAAATTTTAACATAAGGGGAATTTGATGTTGATTTTCATGATTTTTCACCCATTTTTATCATAGATGATTTATGTTTCGCAGTTTTCTCTACCTCATGATCATGACGTTTTACAAATGCATACGATTGTAATCATAATCAAACTTCTATATATATATATATATATAATGAAAATTTTTTACTATTTTTAAAGTTTTATTAATTTTACACACATATCACGTGACTTTAATTTCTGTAAAAAATTTTAACTTTGAAAGAAACATATATTATGTGTATTTTCGTCTGTTCTAAAGTGTCAAAAGTTGGGTTTAAATGTCAATATTTTGTTCAACATTTAATGAAATTTATTTTTTTAAACCTATATTTAAAACTTCTACAAAAAAAACCAGTTTTTTTAAATTTAAGATACTAGTAATTGTAAAATAATGGAATACTAGTTTATTACAAAATAAATTTAATTTAATAGGTCATTTATTTAAATAAAGTAATATTGAAAAAATTTATTATATTTTATATTTTATATATTATTTTATAATTACTTATTACTAATAATAAAAAAATGGTAACATATTTGATATAATACAAAGTTAAAATGAATTATTATATTATAAAGCCAAAATACACTTTTTATAATTATTATCATCTATTATATATATGTTGCCAAAATAATTTTTAATTTTAAACCAATTTTGGCTTTATAATATAACTTTATTAGTAATGTGTAAATGTAATCATCTGAAATTTATTGAAATATTTCATTAAATTTTATAGAAATGTAAAGAAATTTTTAAATAATTTCATTTTAGATATATAAACTTAATTAATAAAATAAATTTAGCTGAAATTATTGCCAATAAGACTGAAATTATTTGAGAATTTCCTTATATTTTCTGAATTCTAGCAAAAATTTCTGCCAAGTCTCAGGTGACTATCTACTTTTATGTATTTTAAAAGTTATACTATAAAATTAAAATTGGTCTAAAATTAAAAAAAATATTTTAGCAATATTAATTTAGGACCCCGGATATCTAATATATGGAATTTGGCCAAAAACACCCCTTTTTGCTAAAACTCAAAAAATCGTTTTTTGTAAATATCTCAGCATCTAGTAATTCAATTTTAATGAAATTTTTTTATTTTGTAGCCCTTATTTAGCTCTACAATTTAAAAAAAAGTTCATCAAAATTGGACCACTAGATGCTGAGATATTTACAAAAATCGATTTTTTGAACTCCTGAAAAATGGGCCAATCTGCCGAAAGTGTGACTTAAGGATCATTGTACTTTCTCTCCCGTTGGGCTCTGCCCATTTTTTCCCAAGAAGACATGGATGAAAAATATGAGGATTTTTTGCCTTGAGTAATAGTAAAAGGACTTTTCGATGTTATATGAAGTTATTACCAAGGTCTTTAATTTCGCCTGAACTCCTTACGGCTTATATTGAGTTAGGACCATTATCATGAGTCTTAGAGTTACCAATAATAATGTAAGATGGCAGTTCTATATGAACGTTCCCCTGGGCTTTCTGAAAGGTTGAAAAGTAGTGTGTCTTGGTTCCTATGCCTTTAAAGTCTAACTGGCCAAGTGGTTCACAGGCTGGACCATTATTTTTTGGAAGGAGCTCTTGACTAACATATTTCTTGCTAGTTGATGTTGTTAACAGGAATTTTAGTCTTCTAAAATAAGGTGACAGAGTTGAGGTGTATGTTTGGTATTTTTTACTCAGGTTTTTCTTATTGCACTTCGAGTTTTCCTGAGGTTTATGTTTTTATTTTTTGCTTTTTGTTTTTCTTGGTCACTTTTTTTGGTGTAACCTTATTTTCTTTGAGGTGAGGGATACTGGAAATTTTGATTGTCATTGTGGCTTGGTGTTACAATTTCAAAATCGATAATCACTCAGGTGATAAGGGGTGACAGGTTAGATACCGCAGTTTTTATAGTATGCTGATCAAGGTGGTCACATGTTAAACTATCATTAGATTGACTTATTTAGGTAGACCTTAGGCCAAAGGATCATTCGCAATGAGGTGGGTGTTCTCCGTTAGGGATCGTTCAAAATGAGGTGAGTGTCACTGTTAGGATTGTACGACACTAAAAAGTTCTTCTAGTGGCTGAACTGCATGACACTAAAAAGTTCCCTGCGGTCTTTGTGAAATAGGTTTGTTATTCATAGTATGTAGTTAAATAGGGGAAATTGAATTTTGTGTATTTTTGATAGCGCTAATGGTATTTGGCATTGGGATTCTTCGATCTTTAAATGTAACGGGGGTCTCGCTGGGTACGTATAGCATAGTCAATTCTACCAGGTTTGAGATATAATTCGGGGATAGCCATAGTTATTTATATAGAGAGGATGTTGGGTTTATAATCTTAGCATTTCTTTTTATGTATTTCTGGAAGATTATTGTTCTTGCATTAGATTAGTTCTGCACTTTGTTGCAGTTCTTTTTTGAATACCTGGTATTCTCTAAAGTAACTTGTGGCAAAAATTAATAAAATTCAAGCGCAGCTTTGTTAAACCGAAAGTGTGACTTATGACCTGTTTTGGAGATATCTGGGGTCCTATTAATTTATACTATTATCAGTATAATTACTTCTGAATATAATAAATCTCTATATACCAAATTCTTATTATATCAAATCTAAATTTACAAAACTAATTTTTTATAATTATTTGTATTGAATATACCAAACTTTTATAATAAAATCCTTTATATCTATAATAATCAATTCTAATACATTAATCTAAATAACTATGCTAATATTATTAATTTGTAGTGATTCTTCATCTGGTAATTATATTATCATTTTTTTTTATAATTTATTTATTTTATGTGAAGTTAACAAGAACATCAAAGGAGTATGATTTACTTAACAGGTAGAAAAACTCCATTTTTTTTTATAATTATTACAATTATTTATTTATTTTGGAGGTATGCCAGAAATCACATGATTATGCTCAATTATAAACTTAACCCTCCTATCCACTATGTAATTGAATTCTAATTGGCTAAAAAAATACATATAATATATACTATAATATATTATATTAATATATGGGGTTTTTGCAATAGAAAGGTATGAAACTCAAAAAAAATTTAAATTTTACTTTATATGCTAATTATGTTTTTTTTATTGAAATAAATGCAAATTTAATATTAATTTAATTTTTAATATTTTTTGAGTTTCGTACCTTTTTATTGCAAAGACCCATATATATTATAATACAATTAGTTTGCTATCTAATAATCCAATTTGCATAAACTTTTTTTTTTATTTTGTAGCCCTATTATACTTTATACAGTCAACTCTCTTTATAGTCACACATTTGGGACAGTCCATATTTGGTGATTATAAAGAGATGTGACTATATAAAAAATTTCTTATATTAGTATATTATAATTCCGGCCAAAAATTAACATAATTTTAGCCAAAATTATACTCAAAACTTTATTGTATCATAACTCCACCAATATTAATC